AAAAATCTGTGAATTTTTCCTGTACTTATAGCACAATTCACACAATTAACAGAATTAATCATGATGTTGTTATCTATTAATATAACTTACATGTAACCTGGAATTATAACTAGAAGAAAATTTTCATCTTAGAATGATAATTAGAATTCGGTTTAAGGGTCGAGAATCTTATTAGTTTATTGAAAGTTTGACTTAACGACTATTTCGAGCTTGCTTCCGAATTTATTTTTCGATAAACCCGACTTAATTAATTTGTGATCACCAGTCTTACTTATGCAGAGTATGGGGCATAATTGAAAGCATGTAAAACTTCATCTTGTATGATTGTTTCAAGCCTACTTTTAGTACACATAAGTGTACCAGCTCATTGCATATGCCAGCAATCATAACATGTGATGCATCTCAAGTACTTTAAAGGTATGCTTGACACCACGGCTATCCAATTTCAACGTATAGTATAAATTAACACATCACTTATAGAAAGTGATGTAAAGGTGCTAAGAGATGCAGAGTTTAACCCTATATCACTCACGATGAGCCATGAATTTGGACGTTTACTTCAAAGTATTCCTTACAAAGTCCCTTATTGCTTCTACTCATTTTAAAACTCGTCGCATTTTATGGAGTCCACTTTCATATATCTCATCACTTTCATCAAAATCTACTAAAATGTGATTCTTTGTTAAATTAAACGCAGGCGAAATAGGATCACCCTCGTGTTCAAGCGATACTCCACATCAGAAAGTTATACGAATCTTATTGAGGATAAGATTGAAAGAGAAAACTAGATAAAGAAGGGAATTGGCAAGTATATGAGGGTCAATTTGGTGATTTTGTCTAAAAGCATAACTTAGCTTTGCTGTCGAAATTTGAATTTTTAAATTATCAAGAAGGAATCGTGCCTGCAAAAGCAAAAGGAGCGCAAGTATAACTAATAAAGAAGAGAGAAAAAGGAAAAGAAAATCATATTTGTGCCAACTGAACAAACATTTTCTCCTTCTAACCCAAATCCAAATGAGCTTCTTGAGTCTCTTCCTCCACCACTCTCACAATCACTATCTGCTTTGTTCATGCAAGATCCAAACAACTCACAATCAAGGTACATAACATCTGTCTCAATCTCACACGCACACTAATATCGTGAAAATAATTGGATTCAAGTCTCGTCCCACTAACTTGTTAGACTTTTGATCGAAAAATAAATCGGGTCTGCGTATGAGAAGGCAAATTGACACACCTTATAGCAACTTAAGCTTTTAAACTATATGCAAATACTGCTGCATGGCTTTTCGAAGTGCAATACAATAACTATAGTAGTGTGAATTTGTGATGTATAATACTTAATTGGTACTTGATTCTGAGACCTAAGCTTTAGTTGTATAGATAAAAATAAGTTCAGATTTTTAAGTGAGTAAGAAAAATTGTGTGGATAATGAATAGTATTGATGATGTGTGATTGAAGTTAATATATGACTTCGACTGAATTTATAAATGATTTATAGATTTGAATCCAAATCGAGGCTAAATGGGTTGGATTTGGGTTAAACCACATTAGTTTCGTTTAGGCTTGTTTAAAATCTTACTAAGATCAATCTCAATTTTTTATGGAATCTCGAGAATTTTAAACGGTCCAACGAGCTGGGACCTAGTCTATACTTGTGGACCTCGTCATGCTCCTCGTTACTAAGTGTCTGTCTGTTTTAGATTATTTTCTCAAGAAAATCAATTGTTTGCCCCTTTTTTTCACAAAATGGGGTCCACTATCACACAATTTCTTCAAATATGGCGGCTGCAACGGTCAGAATTATGATTTTTAGTGGAAACTATCAAGCCCTAAGTATGTCTTCGATATTTCCGAAGGTTACAAATTCTACATTAGGTTCTTACATCCATGTATGGTGTTGTAGGAAGCCTTGGTACCAAAGGGCAATGCAAATGGCCACACAGTGGAGACCCTTTCCAAAATCTGCTGAAATTTCTACAATAAATGGCTCTATTTGGAAAACAAATTCGAAAACAACAGAAATTTCGACAGCAAATTCCAACAAACAGAAACTAAGAAAATGCAAGTCTGTAAGATTGGCAACTTCGTTTACTCGAGCATGTTTATGTGCACCAATCTCTTCATACAAAGAAGTTTTTCAAACTGATTTTCAGCCAAGAAGAAGTTACAGTTATCCAAGATCTTCTTCGCACCCTTTTCCAGCCATCTCACAAGAGAGAACCCCTAGTGCAAGAATGAGCATAGAGGGAAGGAGAATTTTTCGCGGAAAATCTTTGACAGATGATGTTCTAATGAGGAGATTTGTTATTGAAGAAGAAGCAATGATGCAAGTTAGAAGAAGAAATGAGATGGAAATTATTAGGAGAAGAAGTGCTTTTAGAAGGAAAAAACTTGGGCCGAGTCCCTTAAGTAAAATGGTCGTTCTAGTCGAGGATGGGGACGAAGATGAGGAACAACAACATCAGGAGCATGAAAGAAGAAACAAAATCTAGTAAATGTCTGCTGTTTCTTCCATTTTTATACTTAGAATTGGTTTGTGGATTGTGTCTTTAATTTGCTGGGCGATTGCTTGCCCTTTTTGTTTGTAATCAAAATGTACAACTTAATGGCAATGAAATTTTTCGACGATTTTCTTTAAGTAGTTTCAACGATATTCAGAAGTTGTCGTAAAAACAACTATAATAACACAACGTACTCCATATTCAAGAGAACGTCTAGCACAAAAATAATACATTCTTATATTGATTGTTGTAAAAGTGATCCAGAGAGAACAAATTTACATGGCTTGTAGTTGCTTTAGGCTCTCTTCCATCATTAAGCGAGCCATTTTGTTTGGACTTGCTGCTTGTGTCTTGACTTGATGAGCTTTGTTTTAGACCTTCAGCCGTCCTAACTGTCTTGGCAGTCTTTCTTGTACGGTCAAGGTTTTGCAATTTGACCTTTCCCTCCTAATTATTCTTGGGTACGGGAGGGGTTTCACAGGACCCCTGCAGAACATACAAAATAGGTGGGCCCCAAGTTCAGTCCTAAAACATTCAAGGTCATAGACGACAAATTATTACGGAACTTTTAAATATAATTTTCTATAAGTATATTGATCTCTTTAGTATCATTCATGTATCTATTCAAATTGATTTTTTTATATTAAATGAGCCATTTTAAAATAAACAACTTATTTTCGACTTTCATACAAAATAATTTTTCAATTTTTTTTTAAAAAAAAATTATAAACTTACTAAAAAACTATGTGAGATTTTTTTTTTAATTAAGCTCATTAAGGATATAAGTGTCCAAGTGTTTTGGGCCTCTTATTTAGTCTATCACGTTATTTAGTCA